CTCCACCTGTCAGCTGGAGCCCAGCATTGCTCAGTCCCAGTGGCCCCAGCTCGCAGATAGTGTGCAGTGCCCTGCTGAGCCATACTGCGCCCAGGCCATGGGGTAGCTGCCAGGCAGGGGGGGAGAGGGTTGATTACCACTGCCCCCCACTGCCCCATGGTGTGTGGGGGAGCTCCACCACAAGCCCTTAGAGGCCCCAGTCGCCGCTGCCAGAGCCAGTGGTTCCAGGGGTTTGTTTTTTTTCAGTTGTCGGGGCTGGGCAGCCATTAGGGGTGAGGCGGGGGGAGGAGATCAAGGAGCAGGGCCTGTGCGGGGTGGCTCTGCCATGTGGCCCCAGAGCCCCTGCTAGAGCAGGGGGGTGGTTTTTGATTCCCAGACTGCTGGGGCCAGGCCAGGGGTGGGGAAGGGGGCTCTGCCAGGAGGCACGGGATCTGTGATCAGGGCATGGGATCTGTGCGAGGGGTCTCTGCTGCAGCCACTGAGTGTGGGGATGTTTTATTTTTTAAGTGCTGGGAGGCTGGGGCCAGGCGGGGGATGGGGTAGGGCAGGGCAGCCATAGGGGCTTCTCCCTTTTCTCCCTCCGCCTGGGGAGTAGGCATAGCCGGAGGAGCCATGGGAGAACCTGCAGCCGCCCGGCTGTGCCTGTCTCTCCCCGGGTAATCTGAATCTCTGATTGATTCGGCTGAATCAAATGGGGACAGTGATTCGAATCACCAAATCAAATCACTGTCCTCTGAATTGACCAAATCTTAATATGAATCGAATACTTCCCTATTTGCACAGGCCTACTGTTCACAAGTAGGCCGTAGGAGCTATCTGACAGAAGCTCTAAGCACTTATTTCTCTCCTTGCTGTACCAGTAGCTTCTTCATTTACACTTCCAGCCACTTATATTTCTTGGGCAGTCTCAGGGACTGAGGGACTGAGCTGGAGTCCCAGGCACAGGATTCCATTTCTTTTGGGAGTATTTACTCCTGGAATTTACTGATGCTCCCAAAGGAGATGGAGACCTGTGAAGTGGGTCCAATAAAGCTGGCAAGCTCCCAAGAGCAAGGACTACATCTTCTCTCCCAGTATTAAGCACAGCTTTGGAAGACAGTCGCTCCATCTCTAGTCTCTCGGTTCTAATCCTCAAAGGGAATTTACAAAACACCTTTCGTAGATGAGCCTACGAACTTCACTTCATAAATCTACTAGATACAAAAAATCATGGACTCAGTATAGACGTATTTTTGACACATTGCAACCTGTCTGATACTTGATTCATCAGATACCTGCCACACCTGACCTTTTACGCTCATTCCTTGGAGTCTTAGAACAGCAGACTTATTATGCCTGAAGGAGGGTGTTTGTGCCTGAAAGCTTCCTAAGAACTTTTTTCCAGCTACTCATTTGGCCTAATAAAAGATATCACATCTACTCAAAGAACCTTGCCTGACTGAAGTGGTCAATATGCTTTTTTGGTGCTATGGAAGTTATT